TTCTTTCTTTCTTTCTTTCTTTCTTTCTTTCTTTCTTTCTTTCTTTCTTTCTTTCTTTCTTTCTTTCTTTTTTGAGGTAGAGTTTTTGTCCTGGAACTGGCCTTGAATTCACAGAGATCCACTTGCCTAAGTTGTTTAAGCAGATGCTTTTATCTTCAAAAAGAAACAGTGTTGGGCATCTTCTGGATAGAATATTTATTGTTACTATTTTTTTAAGATAGGGTCTCTCTTTGTGTAGCTCAGGCTACCCTGGAACTCACTGTGTACTCCAGGCTGGGCTTCAGCCTTACAAATGCTGAGATTATAGGCATGCGACATCTTGCCTTACTCTCCTGCTATTCTACCATCCAAGCACAACTATTTAATTGATATCTTCCAGCTTTGCAAAGAAAAAAAATGACCAACACACCCTAATTTCTACATATATGAAATAAAATATTTGATTTCTTAATTATAGTAAGTGAAAATTCTAGAAAACGAATTATTTCCTTCCTCTCTAAGGAATAATGCTAATCCATATTGTATTAGTGTACACAGTTTGCAATAGTCCTCTTGCCTCTGGGAGGATTACTTTTTCTAAATGCTGGGACTACAGACATGAGCCACTGTGCCTGACTTGTGTGTGTGTGGTACTAGGGATAGATCCCAAGGTCCTGCGCATGCAAGGCAAGCACTCTGTCACTAGCTGCATCCCAGGATGCTAATGGGATTCTTTCATAATTCAGTGCTTTAAAGTGAACACAAGAAACATCAGCCAGCCTTTCACATCTACTCAGCTTGTCTCGTCTCAGCCAGTCACCGTCAGTTTTCCGAAGTCTGTAAGGGAGGTGTGCTCCTCTCTGCTCGGGAGACTCGTGGAGGAGGATCACTCCAGCCCAGGAGTTCAAGACTGAACTGGACAAATCAGCAAGTCCCTGCTCCCAAACCACAAAGACAGACATTTCAGCAGTCTCGCTCACACATTGCCTATGGTTCTGTTGTCAATACCAGCGTACTTGACAAATGTTAAGATGTAAAACACTGACTTCTGAGTTTGTCTGGAGAATGTATATTTAAGATCATTTTTAGAATTCATACTTAAATTTCTAAGCAAATAATTTATATGGTTTGTGATATGTTGGTATAAATTATGAGCATGCACCTTCTAAGTGTCTAAGTTATTGAACTGTAACAGGTATTAATGCACTTGCATTAGGGCAGTAGTAAGAACAATTCTTGATGACTGTATGCTTTTGAAAGTTGGGTGGCTGTGGTGGTCTGCCTGCAATCTCAGTGCTCCAGAAGGTGGAAATGGGATTCTTTGGAGCAAGATAGCTTAAGCTTGGTCAGCTGAATGGAATCCATGAACTCAGGGTTCAGTCGGAGTTATTGTATCAATGTAGTGTTTGAATGAGAGTGGCTCATGGATTTGAATGCTTACTCATCCGGGAGGGGCACTCTTTGAAAGGATTAGGAGGCATGGCCTAAGAGCGGGTGTGGCCTAGAGGAGGAAGTGTGTCACTGGGGGTGGGATTTGGGGTTTCTGAAGCCCAAGTCAGGTCCAGTGTCTCTCTCTTCCTGTTGTTTGTGGATCCAGATATAGGACTCTCAGCGACTTCTTCAGCACCATGTCTGCCTGCATGCCACCATGCTTCCCACCTTGATGCTGGAGGGTGCAGGCAAAAGCACGTTGGCCCAAATACTGTCATTTTGACTTTAGACTCCATTTTACCTGCAAGGTGAAATAAAGTTCAGGTTTCCAAGCCCTAGGGGAGCTGAGAACTTTCCAATGGCTGACCCACCTCCTCCCTAAACCACAGAAACCTGTGTTTTGTGGTTGTGCACCTTTAGCTTTAGAAACATTGTGGCTGTTCCTAACAACAGAAAGAACAAATGAATCTGACTGGTTGGACTGAAAGCCTTGCATTGTATATTAATTTACAATGATGGAAGTCCCTAATCCTGATTGGTGGAAATTGTAACTGTAACTTGGCAACAAATATTTGTGATTTCACTGCATATATTATTTTTTCCACTACTACCCCAGCTTAGTGCTGTCAGGAGAGTCCTTGTCCTGCAGCCCTGATCAGTCAGCTTATGTGGTGATTTAATAAAATCTTTGGAACCTGTAAGTGCAGTCTCTTTCCTTCTTCATGGAGCATAATGGGCTAAGTGTAACACAATTATGGACCAAACCTCTGGAACTGTAAGCAAGCACTAAGCCCCAATTAAATACTTTCTTTCTTTCTTTCTTTCTCTCTCTCTCTCTTTCTTTCTTTCTTTTTTGTTTGTTTTTTGTTTTTCAAGACAAGGTTTCTCTGTAGCTTTGGAGCCTGTCCTGGAACTAGCTCTTGTAGACCAAGCTGGCCTTGAACTCACAGAGATCCACCTGCTTCTGCCTCCTGAGTGCTGGGATTAAAGGCATGTGCCATAACTGCCCAGCAAATGTTTTCCTTTAGAAGGACTGCTGTGGGCATGGTGTCTCTTCATAGCAATACAATGGCTAAGTCAATTAGCAATGTGGAGAGAGATCAAAGAAAGATATCATATGTCAACTTTTGGCCTCCATGTGCACACACATACCTGTGAATGTCCATACACATATATGCTGTGGGAGCTCCTTCCGCTCCTTCAGCCAATAGCTGCTGAGATATATATGCATACTATCTTCACATACATACACACAAATATATGTAAATAGTTATAATATATGTAATATGTGTAAATATATAGACACTGGATGTACTTAGGGAGTTGGGATGTAGCTCAGAGGCACAGCTTTTGCCCATGAGTCATTCAAAGAAGGAGAGGAGTGAAGAAGAAACAGTGAACTGGGGCAGGGAAAGAGGGAAGAAAGACTAATATGATATTCTCTGGTCATTTCTCAACTTTGCAAAAATATATTGATTCTTTATAATGCCTTCGTAATTAAAAACTCTGTATAATTAGTACCTTATTGGTCATTTTCATTTGAGTGAAAACTAACAGGTTACTGTCATATCTGTATCATAGTACGGCGAGAATTAGACCATTTGAGAGCTGGTGAAAAAAATTTTAAATAATCTTTATTTTACGCACATTGGTGTTTGCCTGCATGTATATTTGCGTGAGGGTGTCAAATCTTGGAGTTATAGGCAATACAGTTGTTAGCTGCCGTGTGGGTGCTGGGAATTGAACCTGAGTCCTCTGGAAGAGTAGCTGATGCTCTTAATTGCTGAGCCATCTCTCTTCCCCCTTATGAAAATTTTTGTAAGAACTGATTTGAGAGCTTGTTTCAGTATTTCCATGTTTTTCTCAGTATGTGTTTGGTGGGTGATTTGGAGAGTGCTCTCTGCCTAGCAATCAGTGAAATTCGTCAGTTAGGGATGTGTTGTTCTTTGGGAAAATTTAATTACTACCTGATCTGTAGCAGAAGAAACCATTTGATGACTAAAAGTAATTAGAGATGCTTGATTGGTATGGTGGCTCACCCCTGTCAGTCATAACAGCAGGGAGACACAGGCAGGAGGACTAGAAGTACAAGGTCATCCTCAGCAAGTTCAAGGACAGCTTGGGCTATCTGAGCACTGTCTGAAAGACAAAGTAAAAACAAAACAAAATCCAAATTAGAAAAGTAAAGAAATAAAGAAAAGGAGAGGCTGGAGAAATGGCTTCTGGTTAAGAGCTTTAGCTGCTGTTGCAGAGGACAGCCGTGGGCTTGGTCCCCAGCTTCAACATGGCAGCTCAAAACCTCCTGTAACTCCAGTTGCAGGGGATCCAACACCCTTTGGGCTTTTCAGGAATCAAACATGCACACAACACACTCATACAGATAAAATTTAAATAAATTTTTAAAAAAATCTCTGAGAAAGAGATTAGGTGTGCTAGTCAGATTTCTGAGTTCAAGGCCAGCCTGCTCTACATTGTGAGTTCCAGGTCAGTCAAGGCTATAAAGTGAGACCAAGAAGCTACAGTTACTAAAACTTATGGTTACAGTATAAAGAGAAAACACTTTAACATTCTAGTATTTTACAAATAATTGTCACTTTTGTTTTTAATGATTTGTGGAGGGAAATCTTTTCCATTTCCTTTACATTAAAACCCAGAGTTAAATAAAGAAAATTAACTTCTGCCTTTGAAGTGTATCTAAACAGGGCCTTCACATTAATTATGTGACTGCACTGGGCCAATTTAAATGTATCTCTTCTATAGACATAGATGACTCAAGGCACAGTTCCTAAGTCATATTTCCTTCTGATTGCCTTGATTATTTCTTTTCTTCTAAAGACAATCATCCTGCAGGATTCATTGCAAGCTATAAAAAAATTACTATTTTTTCTATAAGGACAATTTACTTTTAGCTCACTTGAATTTTATGTACATTTCTACAGTGTTTGCCAAAACACATTATGTCTAGAACATACTTAACATACTTAACATAGGCAGCTTTTGTTTGCAATTAGCTTCATTGTTGTTTTTTATTTTTTTTAACTCTTTTGGTCTTTGGGGGATCACTACCCAGCTCTCAAAGAAATCACACAGAGGCTTGTTCTTTCTTATGAATGTCTGGCCTTAATGTGGCTTATTTCTAGCCAACTTTTTTTTTAACTTAAATTATCCAGTCTGCCTTTTGCCTCTGGGCTTTTAACTTTATGCTCTATACCTTTCTTTACTTCTTATTCTGTGGATTGCTGTCTAGCTTGGTGGCTGGCCCCTGGAGTCCTCCTCTCTTCTCCTTTTGCTCCTTGATCTTTTCCTCGCAGATTTCTCCTCCTTATTCTCTCTGCCTGCCAGCCCAGCCCTCTTTCCTTTCTCCTGCCTTGCAATTGGAAATTGGCCATTCAGCTCTTTATTAGTCCAATCAGGTGTTTTAGACAGGCAAAATAACACCGCTTCACAGAGTTAAACAAATGCAACATAAAAGAATGCAACACATCTTGGCATCACAAAATGAATGTTTCACAGCATAAACAAATGTAACACATCTTAACTAATATTCTACAACAGTTCATCTTGTGAGAGTGCT